AGCTTTCAAATAACTAATAATTTTTAGTAACTTAAATTTATATTTGTTATTATTTTTAATTTAATTTTACATAGGTTTGAATTCTGTTTGTATATAAATTTGGCTGNTTTTATTTTCTTAAATTATAAAATATTTAACCTTTCAAACTATCAATATAAACTGAATAGAAACATTTCAGTGTGTCTAGCATTTTAAGGACTGAGCCTAAGAATTTTCACTTTAATCAAGTAATCTCTCTTCTCAGTTGGAAGGAATTTTGTAAATTGCCTCACTATACCAAACTTAAATGGCAGTTTTACTGTTATATTTTTAATTTAATTTTACATAGGTTTGAATTCTGTTTGTATATAAATTTGGCTGGGAATAAAATATTCTATGTTGTTACAATAAATTATTGTGCATTGATAGACTTTAATAACTTTCAGTAAATGAAACTGTATATACTGAAGGCAAAATACAAGCTGTATACGTTGCAGTTTCAAGAATATATCAATACTTGTTTTCTATGAATCGGCATATGATGTTCACTGTTATGCATTCCGTGGAAAAGTTCTTTGAGTTTACTTAATATCTTGTTGAATCAGTTTTAATCTTCTAAGATTTTCAATCTCGTATAAAAAACTGCTACTTTCCTGTTGAGTAAAAAAACAATGTTTTCACGACAGTCGATGTGTCAATAAGTTTATCATTTGTAACCTCACAAGTTATTCACTCAACACCCGCAGTTGCTATTGTTTTGCTGAGTTTCAGTCACTTTCAGTCTTTTGTGAAGTAAATTAAGCATCATAAAAATGATGTCTAAAAGAAAGTGGTTATTACGATAGAGAAGAAATTAGAAATATAAAATAAATGCATATAAATTTTGTTACTTATGTCGTTAATGAATTTTACAAATATTCTGGATCAAGCCTGATTCTGTTTGAGTCAGATAGATGTGATTCCACTGTATATATGTACATATATGATGCTCTATACTAATGCATAGAGCATCAATTACAGAAATGAAATCTAAAACTTTGGCACACATGAACATCTTTAAAGCATGCTTGCTATATTGTATGCGGGCTCAAGAAAGGTTTGCCATCCCTGGTATAGACCATTATACAGGCATCCCTTGCTTAATGCAGGATTTGATTAAAGTACAAAATTAATTGTGGCAATCCCTTTATATACTTGGCAGAAGTTAATTAATGTGGCTTTACCAGCTGTCTTTACTTAACATAGATATCGTATTTGATTAATACGATTTTGATATACACTGTAGCATTGAGGGATTAATTAACCACATTTATAAAGGGATACCTATACATATATATTTATATATATAACATTTATTTATTTATTTTACTTCACAGGGCTCGTTTTCTTTTCACTTAGACAAATTGTTTTTGAAATATAAACTTCAACTTGCTAATCTAATAAGGCTCATGGTTAGAATGAAGCAGTCTTCTATTAAGTCATATTTTCAATTGTTTGATTCCTTGATATGCTCAAGTTTGGGATTTATGTTTCCTATTTGGGGTCCATTTTTTGTTGATAAATTAGAGAAGACTCAGCTGAGATTTATCAGATTGATATTTCATATTAATTGTTCGGTGCCTGGACCCATTTTAAGATTCGACAATAGCTATACATTTAGCATTGGCCATTTTTAGATACTGGTTTAAAATCTTAGAGCTACCAGAATTTTATCTCAGAAAGATGGTCTATAATAAATTGAAATTAATTAATAGGTAGTAATTCTTTGGTCATAAATTGGCCTTCTTTAGTCAAATCTTTATTATCTGATTCAGGTTATTCAATTGCTTATTATACTCAATTTCCTGATAAAAACTTTTTCTATCTGAACTTTTCTAGTCATTAAAAGATAAATACTGGGCTCAAGATATTTGTTATATCGAGCAAAAGTGTAGTTTTTGAACCTTCTCTATCTTCCCCATGGACACCTTGAGATTATCTGTTATCAAATTTAAATTATAAGATTAAATCTTTTATAATACAATTACAACTTAATAACTATAGGCCTACTATGGTATTAAATGGACATAGAATTAATATATCGGCTTACTCCAATTGTCCTCTATGTAACAGAATTTTAAAAAATGCTAAGAATCATTTGTTTGTATCTTGTGAATAGTTGTGAATACACTGAACACTTAAAGGATATTTTTTTGACAACTGATTTTAATATGTTTTGTTTATTACAATTGAATGATTGATATGTTCAAACAATAAGCTATTTTGACTATTCAGTTTTCAAGCATGCTGTTATATTGTGTTGATGGCTTTAATATATATAGTAGATTCTCGCTAATCCAGCTATTTATTGTATAGAGGGTTCCAGATTACTGAATGTACAGGCCTAAAGGCAATGAACGATGTGACCTGTTGCTAGTGTTGCACCTTTTCAAAATCATTAACCCGGACGGCGGGTCAGGTTTGTTCAAACAGAAGTTCCTGACACATGCACAATGTCATTTTGCATTGCGAAGAATAACATGCAGTGCACGCTGGTTCTAAATCAGTTACAGTTAGGGACTAGGGAGACTTAGGTAGGAGTAACATAAGTAACTAAATTAAGAAAAACAACTACAGATGACTTAGCTCTATTGGATATTGGCACACAAGCATAAAAAAAAAAAGAAAAACAAAGGTCGACAGGTTGCGCACAATATTCCTGGACAGAATTAGTAGTTCGCCCTGACAGTGAGTCAGTTCCTGGACTGTCCGGGTGAAAACCGGACGGGTGGTAACACTACCTGTTGCCTTTCAGTTCCAATTCTTTTTGGAAGCAAATAACATGGTGTGCCAAAATGCAATAGTGCACACACAAATGAAACCTGAGAAACAGGAAAACACAATGTGACATGACTAACATTTTCAAGGAAACAGAATCAAATAGGTGATCACACTGGAGAGTATACTGGATTATTGAGAATCTACTGTATATATTAATTAAGACAAAGTTTAGGAATCATAAAATGATAAATAGTAATTCATTTAATTAATTAATAATGATAACATTTTGCAAAAGTCTATCAATGATGGCTTGATGCTTATATTATATGATACTGACATGGATTATATAGTGGGACTATTTACATCATCAACATTCAGAAAAGGTATCTGCCTATTTACATATACCGTGCATGAAAGCAGTAACTTTACATGTACAAATTTTCCAGTTCCATAGTAATTAGCAATGGAAAATGATGATATGGTTGTAGTTGTCTTTTTCTCTTCTACTTATTTGACAAGATATTGAATAGTTTCTGTAATTTCTAAATTGATTTAATTTACATGTTTAGCATATGACTTGCTTTTCTAGTCTAGTTTTATTTCATAACTTATACTTTTTATTGTTAAGTTTACTGCTATACCTTAGTATACAGTTTACAGTGGAGGGTAATAGGCAATGAACACCAACCAATCTAAGGACTTTACAATTATTATTTAATGTTCTCATTAAAATATATGATTCAAACTTCGGGAGTCTTACATGCATATTGATACACCGACAATATATATTCAGTACTGTTAACACGCGTCTATATCGGCTCCCAAATCTACAACCTAAATTTTTAGGGATTGTACAAAAAAAACAAAGGAAAAAAACACAACAAAATTTCTTACATGAGTTCTTCTCTAAAATTTTGGTCAATGTATATGTGGTTCACTTCGAAGTCTTTATTCTAGGCCCGGATGGAATTGGATTACTGTTCTCTCTCCACACTGTCCATTCTCCTTTCTCTTTCACCACGTGCTTATCCACTCGCGCACTTCACTAATACCACGTGTCCAACACAGTCCGAAGAGCAAGACAAAGAGTGAAACACCTCCCTTTATACTTCTTCGTTTTTGACGTCACGAGTCAAAAACCAATCAGAGTCCTGCGGGTTTTTACAAAAGTGGTGCCCAGGCACAAACGGAGCATGCGAAACACATACAAAAAAAAAATAATTTAATCTGAGTGACAGATCACTACATTATAGTCTTTTCATTTTACTATTTGTGGACATATATACATTTTGGTGCATATATCTTCTTCAGTACAGCCAACAACTTCCTTTTTTCCAACAAGTTTTAGTTAACAATAAAACTTCATATACTTAAAATTTTATAAGCTTAAAATAATATTGTTATTGTACTGTACTTAATACAAGAAGAATATTGTAAAAGTTAGGCAATGATCTCATTAGTCTAACTTTTCAATTCAATTTATCATAGAATACTGTACTGACAAAATAGGAATACACAAACAACAATACACAAACAACCTACCTAATTAGGTTTCTTGGTAATTTTGATAAATGTCCTAATGTTTGAGACATCCGGTAAAAGACGTCTTCTTTATCTGTCCCGCACACAAAATACGTTTCTGCATTGAATTTAATTCTTTGCCCCATTTGGTATATGTAAATCATATCTTAACATTCACCGGTGGTAGAATATTGATAATTCTTAATTTCTGAATTTGAACTTTTGACATTCGTATGGTTTTTTTTTTTTAATTCTAATTAAAAAACATTATCCTCTTTTATTTCTTCTTTGAATGAAATAATTCTAAAAAAACCATTAAATAAAAACATTATCAAAGAATTTATTATTGTAATGAATTATTATATTTAATTTCTAATATTTGACTTATCTATTGTATTTACTTATAATTTACACAGATATATATATATATATAAAAATATTGTATAAAATACATTAGTGTATAGCCTTAGGTTGCGACTATGCAGATGCAAGCGAGCGAGAATATGCGGTGAGAAGAGGCGAGATGCAATAAATATCAAACCCTGTCAGATGTGTGCAAGAACCAGAAATTTGCTCACGCCAGTGAGATTTCTCACATCTTGCTTGTGCGTGTTTTTTTTTTGCAAGAACTATGTCGCTCACAACCTCTGGCTCGCTACTAAATTCGCATCTGCATAGTCACACCTTTAGAGTTAGTAATCAAATAAAATTTTTTCTTTTTTCCATTCTTATATTTACAGGTTTCCGAAAGTTTAAAACCAATGGGACAGATTGCGACATGAATAAATACAATGTGTAAAATAATCAAGTCAAAAAAAAAAGAAAACATGAAACAATATGAAATATGTAAATTGTGACGTGAGATTTTTATGCTTTTTTTTCAATGTATCTATAATTTTAATGTAAAATGTTACTTTGGAATGTTTTATTTAATAAAAATAAATAATTTCATACCAAAGTAAATATTACTTTAATTATAATAAAATCAGAAATTCTTTTGTAAGTGGTTAACAAAAAAAAAGGATTTGCTATTCTTAATTATATTTGTGGAGCGTGATACGTGCCAATAAATATAATTAATATAAATTAAATTATAACTTTTCTTTTATAAAATTATTACGTAATTTATCATAGAGTAAATAATTTAGAATTTAGAATTTACGTTTGATAACTTGATCTAGAAATGCTTTCAGTAGTTAATTAGAAAAAAGTGTAAGCGAACAGAATCTCTCGGAACTTAAAATCAGCTTACTTATACGGCTATTTTATTATTTAAATGATCACTTGAGAACAGTGGCACACCCAGAGGGGCACCCCCAAAAGTAAAAGGGAGAAAAAATTAGTAAATTTTTTCAAAATTTTTTCCTAATTAAAATTTATTTTATTATTTACATTATGTTGTGTCTTCTGTTACTTATTAATTAGCAGTCACGTAAGGTGGGAATTTCATTGAATTCGCATTAAAAATTTTTCTATCCATTCAACTCGGCTCCCCGAGATTAAATTTCGAATGTGCCACTGCTCGAGAACATCAATTTATTTGAAAATATGTTCTTACCAATTTGCAAAAATTGTATATCTTAAGAAAGTGATATCAGTAACGAACTTTTGAAATACATATCTATTTACAAAGATAAAAATAATCAAAGTCTACAGAAATAACGAATGCACTTTACATCATGTTCAAAATGATGAGAAAAAAATGCCAAATTCAGGAAACAAAAACCAAATTTTTATTCAGAAATGTTTACGTTCTTTTAAAAGAACATTGTCAGCTGGGAAATTATGAATACATTCAAATGAATATCTCTAAACGTGTCTTCTCGGTAGAGATATTTTTAAAATATATTTATTCTAAAGCACTTCATAATTTCCCAGCTGACGATGTTCTTTTAAAAGAACGTAAATGTTTCTGAATAAAAGTTTGGTTTTGGTTTCCTGAATTTGGCTTTCTTTTTTTTCCTCATCATTTTAATTGATATCCATTAGAAAATAATGTTAAAATTTAGATTTATATATGTAAGTTGATCTAATATCTCTAATTTTTATTTTTATATAATTAAATTTATATATATATATTTTTTAACAATATAAATGCTTAATTACATTTTGAACAATGTATTCTTTCAATTAAACACACAAAATTGTTTGAACAAATTAACTAAAATGTCACTTCGTCGTGATAAATATTAATTTTTAACCGTTCCCAACAACCGCTTTAATAAAGTATATCATTCTTTATTAATAATAAATTGGAATTAATGTGCTTTTCACCAGCAAGGATTTAGTTTATAAATTACATTAGTGTGCTTTACCTTTGTATTAACTATTACAATTAATAAGAGAGACTTCTGTTTACAAAAGAACATTTACCGGCTTCGAGATTGAAATGTAACGGTAGTGCAGGTAATAAATAAATGCCGTAATAGAACATATGTAATTACGAAGTAAATCTTTGCCAATTTTGTAATAAAAATGCTACGAATTTTATCAAATAATTGTAAATACTTTTAGCGCACTCTAAATAACTGTGAATGTGCATGTTTTATATAACCATTGTGGCCTTCTTCAGTCTTCCAAATAAAATAAATATTGTGAACAAGAGATTCATTTTTTTCTTATTAAAGTTCTGTTAATGACAGAATTTTAAAGCTGCATTTCAATTTACTTATTTATTAAAATTTTTCGATAGTTGTATTAAAGAAACATTAATTCCGTCGAATGTATTATAATCTTTAGATTCTTGTTATAAAGCTATTAATCGGCTACTTCTTGTTAACGAAAATATACATCAATTAAAACTAACTGTAATTAAATTGTGTCGAATTTTTCATTTTGATCCTCAAAACAAACATAAAATGTCTCGGTTTGTTTCTTAAAATGGAATTTTCTAAAATTAATACAAACTAATTTTTTTTTTTCTTATTTAGCTATTAATAATGAAAAGATAACAGAACTTACCTTGTTACCTGAAAAGATAACAGAACTTACCTTGTTACCGTGTTACGTGAACTTACCCAGAACTTACAGAAATTACCTTGTCCTCGTAATTTACCTTAACAGTACATTAAATTAATAGCTGTTTATGTTATAAGGCTTATAAGCGATTAAAAATTTTTTATTATAGTGCACGATTATTTTGCACCTTTAGGTAACTTTCATAAGCAATACCTTGGAACACTGACAATTTTATTCACAATTTAGATGTATAATGCTTATCTTCAGTTTTATTTAAGAAAGAAAAAAAAGAAAGAGAGAGAGAAGATAAATGATGACAATCATTTGAATTAAATAAATTTACTTAAAAAACAGAGAAAATAAAAGAAATTTAATCTTTTTGTATTCAACTCAAACAGTAATTGGTTATAGCCAATAAAAAAAAATATTTATTGATTCATCTGGAAGAAAAAGATAGACCAACTATACTTGCCAGTTGGCAAATGTCACTCCTCCAATGTTTGTTAATTAATATTAAGGTAGAGTCCCGCAAACTCAACTTAATGCGGACCAAGGTGACGAGTTACCAAAAATGAGTTTTACAGATAGCGACGATGATAGTCTAAATTGCGGAATTTTTGTAAATTATACGTGCAAATCCACATACGTATTAATTACGCACTGGATTATGTGTGACTATTTCTAGTTCTAGTTAAATTTTAGTTAAAAACTTTTGACTATTCGATGGTTACCTTTGAGTCGGTGATGTTTTCCCGGTGACATCTCGGAAAAAGGGTTATATTGTTTCTTAAGATGTGAAATTGATGCTATTATCAAGTGTCGCCGGTAAATAATGATAAATTACTTGATCATAGTGTTATGTTGTCGAGATAAAAATTAGATTATGTGTATTTCTTTTTTTTTTCTTTTTGGATGATGCAAGTTTTACAGAATGTCGAGTTATTGGGACTCTGCCGTAACTCTAAGTAACAATCGCCGCCAATATAACAAAAATCAAGCTATTAACAAATGTATGATCTCTCAATATTTAATTTTTCATAATATTTGCATAATTATATAAAACAAAATACTTTTTAAAATGTAATTTCATCACTTTTTCATCTCTGATTCTAATATCGATTAGAAAAGAATTCTTTCCAGAGAGTTTATCATCTTATAAGCGACAAAACTTTTTGGCTATTCAAACTTAAATTATTTGTATATCAGGAAAGAATTCAAAAATTTAAATAAAATATCCAATTAGATCGATCGAACACATCATCAATTTAATAAAGGATACATGTATTTAATTGAAGTTGTGCTATTTCTTATTGATATAACAGCAATTTAATCGAGAACTGCAATTATCAAAATAGTAAAGTCAGAATTAATTAAATATCCCAATAGATTAAGTGTTACGTAATGATTTCATCGATGATACTATATCAAATGCTTCTCGAATAGACGAAAACATATTTCGATATCTTCATTACAAAGGCATCCACAGAAAATTCTGCAGGGGGGAGCAAAGATTAGAGACAAATAACTACATCAATAAATTTTGTTAAAATTTTTTTCATAAGTAGACGAAATAATATGGTATCGAGTCAATACGAAAAGACAGATAATGCGTGGGTGTGAGGTTACATATCTCTATCACTTTTACGATGACAATTTGTAGAATTTTTTACTCGATCCCAGGAAAGAGTAAGTGCGCCGTTTGCCCCCTCAGCAGACACCCATGCTTCGTTATGATTACAATATATGATAATTGAAGACCTTTGGGTAATAAAACGTTGACTCGTGTTTTCAAGTTTCTGTGAAAATCACCCTAAATTTCAAAATTTGCTCTGTATTTTAGGACAGATCACATATGATTGGTGACTAATTATTGAATATATAAGAGGTTAGAAGCCAGTTTATGAGAACTTACAGATGAGGAAATATCGACTGGATTTTAAAAGAAAACATAAAATTACAATTTTGCTCAATATGAATCAATAAATAACATTTACATTTTATGATTTTTAAATGTTTCTAGTGATTAAGTTTTCATGTTTATAAATATTTATAAAAATTTAAATTAAAATATATTTGAATTTAATCATTTATATAAATTTATTTTGATTTTTCAGATGAAATAAAAATTTCATTACAGATAACTTTACGTGTTTAATTTCAGAATGAAAATTTTAATTCATAGAAATGAAAATTAATGAGAAATTTTATCTTCTAAAAAGTTAAAAGATCTCATTTAACAATATTAGAGCTTAAAAGAATACAATTTTTATTACTTTTATTTAATTTTGAATTTTTAAATGTTTAAAATGCATAATAGGACATAGCAGAACAAAATAAAAATAGTTTTCCACGCCAACAATAACACTAAACAACAAAATTAAAATATAGGATAAACATGCAATTAAATTATTGCATTGTATTATAAAAAAACAATTCAAATTACGAAAATCATTCTTTACATTACTGAAAGTAAATTTCATTTCTCGTACTAACTTTTAAATTTTTTTAATCGATGCAATGTTACAATTATGTTTCTTTAATATAAGGTCAAATCGTATCCTCTATAAAACATTGGAAAAATGTCAGTGTAACGCATAAATTCAGCTACGTCGCATCTTAATTAAAAGAATAAAACAGTAAAGCACATTTGTTCGTTGATGAAACAATTCCAAATGACGAAAAGTACAATTGCGTCAGACTTTTCTTTGTACCCGTCGGAACCGGAGCTTTTAATTCTCCCTATCGACTTCCATCAGAAATCGAAGGAACTTTTCTCAAATTGTTTAACATAAAAGAAGTTACGATACATATAATAAAGGTAACGTATAAGAAATAAATTACATTTTATAATTGTCTTTTTCTG